TTCCGATCTGGTGCTTTAAAGCAGCTTAGAATAAAAAATGAAAAAAAAATAAAAAGAATAAAAGCTTAGAATCAATACCTTTAATAGCCATTGGAAACTGCTTTTTTTTCTTCAACTAAATGCGGACTGTAGACTATTTACATAAATGATTTCTACTTTTCAGCCAGAAGAAGTCGTGCCTTCTGGGTACTACTTCCATTCTCAGAGTACGTCCGAACCTTGGAAACGGATGAAGACCTCATCAAATCAGCGCGACGAAATGGAAGAGAACGATTTTTTTGATATCCCACCCGACATGACCGAATCCGGGCCTAACGGCAGTGTCAGTTACAAGGTGACTTGCAATCTAGTAGGTCTTTCAAGAAATTCTGCCGTTTTTGACCGTTAATTCCAAAATTATATAGCGGCTCAGACAGAACATTTTCAATTGAAATAGAAACGACGGAAATCAGTTCATCTTTGGTTCGAAAGAACTTCTCTTGAGGAGCCATCCAAGCCCCCGAAAGTGAGGAAAGTTGTCGTGAAAGAGATTAGCTGTTAGGCGGTCGAGCACTGATCCGAACCCAGTTAGTTCAACCTGTGAGGAGTTGATTGTGCGATTGCGCTCCTGCCACCTGTCAGAGATGAGTCGATTCCTTCGTGATGAAGAATACTGGGCAAATTTGTTAAAGTTTTCGGTGTATTTTGAGGTATTGTTAAGAGCACTTTTCCAATGTACAGCTCCAGTAGGTTTCGAGAGAGTTAGGCCAACCGCTGGACCTTACGGAAGGTACCGCGACCTTCCTTCAGTGCAGTTGCAGCTTTGCGAAGTTTGTGGGACTTGATGGGGACATTCAACGGAACTACTTGGGCTGTAGCAAAGAATCCGCCTTACATCGTTCCACGCAAATCTGCAGAAAATGATTCGTTTCAATTAAATAAAGCATGCTAAAAACTTGAGTCGACACTTTAAAGGCAAAGTTCGGGCTCAGACCCACTTAATGAGCCCTTATAGTGGCTAGAAGCGCGTGGGACGCAACTGCAGAAGGCGCGCCACGTTCCTGCATCAAAAGCGTTACTTAGACTCTAGACGGGGC